GAAAATCCACGTCTGGATATGTGTTCACTCTCGCAGGGGGAGCTATTTCATGGAAAAGCTCAAAGCAAACCGTCACTACATCGTCCACAATGTATGCCGAGTTTGTAGCATGTTATGAGGCAACGGGCGGTGTGAACTGGTGAAGAAGTTCATACCGGTTTGAAGGTGGTTGACGACATCAATAGACCATCGAAGTTATATCATGCGATAATAATCCAAAGAAGACAAGATGCTCACAACAATAGGTCAAGTGGTGCCGCCAAACACATTGACATAAAGTATTATGTTGTGAAGGATAAAGTCCGGGATCAAATGATAAGTCTTGAGCATATAAGTACCGAAAAGATGCTCATGAATCCGCTTACAAAAGGCTTACCACCCAACGTGTTCGAGAGAACATGTAGCCGGCATGGGTTTAAGGGAAAGCCTATGATTCCCGGACTATAAATGGCCCAAAAGTTAAAGTAACTATTTCAGATCAGAGACGTGCATTGTAGCTGTTAAATCTATCGGCGATTGACCGTGACGATGAGACATGCTCTATGCATCATCCGTGAAGAAATGAGTAAGGATAAAAGGATTGAAGTTTAAAGTTTAAAGATAAAAGTAATGGTGAGATCAAGGGGGAGAATGTTAGATTGATCTCCTAACCAATAAGCCAAACGGCTTATTGGGCCTGGGCTTTGGTCACGCAGCATCGATCGGGGCGCCCAACCCTACATGGTTGGTGGGCCCCGTCACGATCTGCCAGCGCTATATAAAGAGGTGGGGGCGGGCGGCTCAAAGTAAGAGGTTCGCCGTGAGCCAGAAACCCACCGACAAAAACCCTAGACCGATCTAAGAGGGTGCGCACCAACACGGAAGCTCACCGATCCTCGCCATCAATCATCGCTTACGCCCGACCGCACCGCATCGACGTCTCACAAGAACCTCTACTCCACCCGTCGCTGCCCGTGTCTTGCCTCCATCACCGAACCAAATGGCCCTAGACAATCTGCGACTTCATCTGAAGGCTCAGGTTCATCACCAGCCCCTCTCTACCCTAACTCCCTCTCGGTGTAGTGTTCTTGGTCTAAATGTGCATGTGCTTCACTGGTCTAAGTATTCATCCGTCTAGATCTACCCTAGTCGATCCACAGAATTTAACAGCTGCATCCAGTTGACAGCAGCTCTTTTAATTGTTCAGATCAAAGTTCAGAAGATTTGAAAACCTCACAGGTAGAATTTTTAAAATTCACTTCGTGAAATCATCCGAAAGAAAGAAAATGTTCCAGTCAATCACAAATTAATAAAGCATTTTATGAAAGCAAATAAGAAACTTTCAAAGTGAAGTGTTGTATAATTGGTTCTCAGCGAGTCACTGGCAGGATCTTTGAATAATTGCTGCTTCATCTCCCTTTCAATCACGAAGTGTTTCAGGAGTCATTCAAATCTGTAATTTGGACAGTCTTACAAAAGTGAAAAACTTTAGGTGACAAAATTCACAGGGAGTCAGTGTGATCTGATTGAATGTTAGCAGCATCTTCATGCAGTTGACAACAGCTCTTGTAATTGTTTGGATCAAAGTTCAGAAGATTTTGAAAACCTAACGAGTAGCATTTTTAAAATTCACTTCGTAAAATTATTCGAAAGAAAGAAATGTTCAGTCAATCGCAAATTAACAAAGCATTTTGTGTAATCATTCAGAAATTTTCAAAGGGAAATGTTGTATAATTGGTTTCTTAGTGCTGGGATCTTTGAGCAATCGCTGCCTCATCGCTCTTTCAAACAAGTGTATTTTCAGTCAATCACGAAGTGTTTCAGGAGTCATTTCAATCTGTAATTTTGGCAGTCTTACAGAACTATGAAATTTTTTTAAGGAGACAAAATTCTAGGAGGGAGTCAGTGTGATCTCTGAATGTTAGCAGAATCTTCAGTTAGGCGCTTGTTTTGATTGTTCAGAAGATTTTAAACATGCTGTTTCATGTAGTTGACAGCAGCTCTTTTAATTGTTCAGAACTTCAGATCTACCCTTGTTCAGAAGATTTGAAAACTTCACAGGTAGCATTTTTAAAATCCACTTCCTGAAATCATCCAAAAGAAAGAAATATTTCGGTCAATCACAAATTAACAGAGTATTTTGTGAAATTAATCAGAAATTTTCAAAGTCGAATATTCAGCGAGTCACTGGGATCTTTGAATAATCGTTGCTGCTTTATTGCCCTTTCAGTTAGTCAACCACGAAGTGTTTCAGGAGTCATTTATAAAACTGTTAAAAAATCTTAAGACAAAATTCTCATGGAGTTAGTGTGATCTCTGAGTGTTTGCAGAATCAGAGTTAGTGTGATCTCTGAATGTTGGCAGAATCTTCAGTTAGGCGCAACAATAAACATGATGCTTCATCCAGTTAGCTCTTTTGCCTATTCGGCTGCCCTTATTTGCAGTGCTGCAGCTGTATATATTGCTTTTCTACGTACTGTTGTTGTCTCACACGCGCAGCCGCTGCAGCTGCAAATGAGTCAGTCGAACAAATTAACAATGCATTCTGTGAAATCAATCAGAAATTTCAATGTGGTTATTCATATAATTATGAATAGTTGTTACTACAGTAATGACCAAATAACCTATATTGTACTCCAGGGAATAGAGTATTGGAGCTGAAAAAATAACTCTCGAACTTTCATCACTCAAAGGAAACTCAACAAATCCCTTCTCTGTGGCCTAGTAAACATTCTAGACAAGGTCGGGGAGAGCAACCAGTAGGTGCAGAGCAACATGCCCAAACTGCTCCACGGCCTGGCGTTGCTCACAGGCCAGGGCTGGATCAGGTGCGAAGGAGAAAGAAAAGAAAGGGAGAGGGAAAGAAGAAAGGGGTAAAAACGACATTTCACCTCTGTTCTCTCTCTTTCTAAGCAAGAAATGAATATTTTATAGGATGTAATGTCTAGGAGCGAATTTAACAACAACAACAAAAGTGTCCATCAGCAAATCGCTTCATTTTCAGAGTCCACCAGCAAAGGGAGTTCACTTTCAGAGCTTGATTGGTTTGCGACTAAAATTTGCCATACCAAAGATTTGGCAAACCAAAGGTAAAATAAAGTTACCATGGTTTTAGCAAGCCAAATATGAGAGGTTCGCAAATTTTGGTAGCCAACCAAATAATAGCCAAAATTATGGCTTCCAAATTTTTAGTTTGGCAAATTTTGAAAGTCAGCCAATCAATATCAAGAACAAATTTTGCCTAAAATATATCAGCTTAGTGTTCTGGTGGGTGCTCTTAAGGATAGAGTTGTGTGCCTAAGTTTATAAATGAGTGTTTGTGCATATATAGGAGAGTATGTGTTTTTACTATGATAAAAATGAGAATATGAGAAGTAAAGAAAAAAGTTCAAAGTAATACCTCCAAGTATCGTTTATGTCCAAATAACCCCATAAACTAATTTTTAGTTCGATTTACTCCCTTTAACTATTCCAATCTTCAATTTACCCTTTAACAAGTTTTGTATTTTTCATTTCTATACGTATAAGTTGAATTTTAATTTCGTAATTTATAAGGCGATAGTGGACAACATAAAGTATTATTATACGTCCTAACCAACCAAAATAATGATATAAATTTATGACATATTTTAAAATATAAACTATGGTTCTAGCTATCCCCTCATAAAATTTGAAATTAGAAATAAACTTGAATGTGGAGAAACAAAAAAAAGGCAAATCTTGTTTACAAGTAAATTGGATCGACTGAAATAATTGAGAAGGGTAAACAACCAAACCAAACGATAGTTTTTATGAGAATTTTTTTGCATGTGTCGTCATATATTATGAGATTATACATATGTTTTACCCATAACAATATACAGACACTCAACAAGTTATGTATAGATTAAAGGTTAAAATCTACTCTAAATGGTTTCCCGTTAAATATACTTATCATTTCTGGATGGAGGGAGTGCCATCTATACCTTTTGTTTATTATGTACTCCCTCCGTCCATAAGTCTTCATTGTATTAGTCTTCGACGCAATGATCAAGAAGCAGCAAACAACACCGATTTGTATTTAAGGCAAGGAGCAGCCAAGGAGTCGCAGCCAATAAGCAGCCAAGGAGCAATAAATGCAGACAAGGAGCATCCAATGAACAATAAATGCGCAGCACGTACGAGAAGCCAAACCCGTGGTCCTGATCTAATATGATGGAGACTCTTGGATTTTTTTTGGTGCTTAGACGATGGAGACTTATGAACGGAGGGAGTATTGGTTTGCACCAGTACTTTGGTTGGTGTTTTAATCTGCTCGCTCCTGTATGTGGATTAGATCTTGTTTGGATCCATCCAACTGACTATTAACCCATGTTAGCTATATGAGAAATCAGTTAAGAGCCTGTTTGGATACTAAAGGTTGATTGCTAGCTAACTGAAAATTTGTCTTAGTCCATTCAAATAGAGGTGGCTAATAGGTGGGCTAATTTATTAACCAAGCTTCCAACTAGTACGTTGTTAGCCAACTAATTGGCTAACCTCAGCAAATTTGAGCTAATAAATTTTTAGCCCAGCTAATAGTTAGCCCTAATAACTCATTGAAACATGCTCTAATAGCTAATTGTTAATCAGGTGGTAGGTAATTAAAATATATTAGCTAGTTTATTAGCTGAGGATTCAAATACAATCTCAGTTATTTTTTAACAGCTATTAATTGTACACTGTACAGTAGCAAACCGGCTCTTAGTATATCCGTACCGGCAAAGGATTGATGGTCCATGATTTTGTAGCACGGTAGTCAGTAGCAGTGACTCACGAGACTGAGATAGATAACGTGGCCCGGCCCCCGTCGTGTGTACTCTTGTCACCCCCCGCAGCCCCGCTCCTGCCCTAGGCTGTCCTCCTCCGTCCTCCCCTTCCCCGGCCTCCCTCTCTATATGTGCGCTCGATCAACCGCTCATACGCCACAGCCAGCCTCTCTCGTCGCTCGTTGGCGTACGGACGACGACACTACCGCCCCGGTACGGTAGCTAGTCAGGAGGATGAAGAAAGTGTTGTTGCTTCCGTCGAGGACGACGACGTCCGTGGCGTTTCTGGCGGTGGCCTTGGTGACCACGACTGTCTTTGCCATCTCCGGTGGCGCGGCGGCAGAGGCGGCGGCGCCGCATCGGATTCTGGTGGACACGGACATGGACACCGACGACTTGCTCGCGCTGCTCTACATCCTCAAGCAGAACCGCTCCGAGTTCGACCTCAAGGTACGTACGTCCCTCTAGCGCCTGGGCTTCTCGTCCGTCGTCGTCCGTGCTTGTAGCTTTAATTTGCATCCGGAGCAGCGAGGACGACGACGATGCAATTTTCTCCAAGAGAGCAAGAAAATGATAAGCACGCTTTGATTCTTATTTAATAGTACATGATGCGTGCGTTAGACTGTCTCCAACCAGGAACCCACGTGGGCACCCAAACCTAAAATACGTAGTAAGCCTATATGAAAAACATATTTTGGGTTGACTGAGAGGCACAACCTAAATATGGTTATTTTATCTCCTGAAAATCCATTTACATAAATGATTATGTTTTATATCTTGTTGCTGGAGAAGATGCCGAATAGGTATTGAAACTTTTGCATGTAGCGTTATCAAAGAATGAATGTATATTATATTTTAGGTATTATTGTTGGAGATAGCCTTAGCATTGCATCTCTATCGCGATCAACTTGTGCACGTCGGAACAAATAAGCCGCGTTTGTCGTTGCCTATAGACTAGTATAGTAGACGATCGACTAGACGACGTAGAGGGACCACGACCGCAGGATGATATGATTGGACGCTGGCGAGTGGTGAGATCACATCATCCGATCGATCATCGGCAGAGATGAGTGTTTCAGGTCTATCATTGTGAATTTGTGACCTTTTTTGCTAGAGATTCTTTCATGTTTGCGTGTACCATTGTCCATCGATCTCTCAATGAACCGTTCCGTGCTTAGTTAACACTACAAAAACTTTTGGCTAGCTACAAAGCACTTCCGTGCGCATAAAGGCACAGAGCACTTCCGTTCCCAGTTCCCGACAGAGAGTCGATCAGAGAGTCAACGAGAGAAATATCCATTTCCCAAATGGGAGCGACGATCGATCACGATCTGGCCTGGGTTATACACCCAATGCCTTCTCCTTCCCCTTTTTTTAAGTGAAAAATCAAACCGTACCCTTTCTATAGTACGATCATCAAGAGAGGGGGAATCTTCTAAATGAATAATTAAATCTGTGTGTATGGGTATGAAATAAAACAAATCATGATTTTATTTGTTTGACGCATGGCACTGTGTCATTATTCAAAAGCAAATATAATTTAATACTCGATAGATGCAGATAAGACAGTGATGGAGCATCGACCCTTTGAGGTTTTGAACAAATAAATGCTCTGTAATCTGTATATCTCGATTTAGAATACTCCATTCGTCCCTAAATAAATCAATTTCTAGAATCGGTTTTTAAGTTTGACTAACTTTATAGAAAAAAGTAACAGCATCTATATCATAAAATGAACACCTTATAGAAATATATTCTATGGTAAATCTAATGATACTAATTTAATATCATGAATTTTAATGTTTTTTCTAGAAATTCAGTCAAAGTTTAAAATTTTTGACTTAAGGCAAACTCTAGTTGGCAAATGGTGTTCGTTTGTCTATCATACTACTCCCTCCGGACCGATTTCTAAGGCGGTCCAGCGTTTTTCAGAAAGGCCAGCATGCAAGGCGCCGCAGCCGTTCCGAGCACCAAATTGTTGCATGCGGCGCTTCGTGCTATTCGCATTTACTAGTTTTTCTTCTACCATTGGGCATGCATGCATGCATTACAAGAAACAGCCAATGGTGAATCACATCATGGGGGTGTGAGAGCTGCAATTAATCACAATTGTTGCTGCAGTTAATCGCGTGCACAACCTCCTCCTACTCATCTTGGTATCAAGAATTTTCTCTAGTGCGCCTATGAAATGGGCCCAGAGGGAGTATTATCTACATGTATACTATAGGTGTGTTTCCACCAGCTTCAGTGAAGGCACGCTTGTGATAATTGGCGAGCTCAGACCCGAACCCACAAGAGCCAATAATATTGGCGACGTCACTCGCGTATGGTTGAGCCCCGTCTTTAATTATTATTTAGAGATGCGTGCTATTGTCCTGTCTCTGATTACTGTCTTCTTTGCACGTTTATGGCATAGTGATAGGACATGCCACGAGTAGTGTTTTCACATCACCACATGAGTGGCCTCCTACCCATAGTCACGATCACGATATATAGTCATCAGTGTCAAACCAAAATGTCAGTCTTAGTAGAAACTACAAACTAAGCGCGGCGTTGCCGTGCAGCTGCCAGTGTTAGGCTACCCCGCGATGTCAACGTGGAGTAGAAAGGACTGCATTCACATTAATGTATCTATTTACTTATCTAGTGGCGCAAAATATAAAAGAAGCATTGTTAATTGCAAGACTAATAATTTTTTAACACATATCTTTTATTGTTGAAAAGGAGGAAGTGGGAACACCATTTATATATCACTCTCAGAGAAAAGGACTGCGGTTGATGAAGGTTTATATACAACAAATGCATTTTCCTTTGTTACATCACCTTCTCATTAATATATCAATCATAATGATATTCCAAAAATGGAGGCATTTCAAAGGAGGTAAAGAGATGGAGTATTCCTCCTTCCTGTAGATAATTAGAATCGCATTAAATCTTGATAGGATGAATCCTTAAAAATTACTACATGAAAAAAAAGTAGGATCGACGTATAAAATGTGGCTGTACGTAGATATATTGTATCTTTTCTGAACTTCATAGTGAGTTTGTGCTCTTTGAGAAATATAAAAAAGCAGGAAAGGCTGCAGATTACAACCTATATGATACATGGACACTTGACAGTACTCCTCTAAAGATGCTGGTACGGATTGGATAAAAATTCAATTTTAGTATGAGATTAGATGTCAATCTTTAGAAATCACGGTCACCACTTAACGCTTGTTACTATCTCGTTGGCATAGGTAGTGAGCTATAGGTGAGTTGCTTGCCTATGCTCTGCATCATTAGCCACCCCCTTTGCTGACTCCACCGCTGGCCCCTGGATGGAGTCATGGCATGGAGCACAAAACCGATTTCTCATAATCAAACCACTCATCAACAGTTCCCTGCTACAAGCAAGTAGGGCATGGAAAATCCATCAAACAGAAGAAATATCATATGCCTAAATTAGGATATGGGGATGAAATCCACGTGCAAAAAAACTTAAACATAATCAGCGCATTGAAATCCATAAAACAACAATTAATCTCCAACACATTTTGTTCACGTCCTGTTCCAGCTAACCTGTGTAGAATGAAAATCAATTAGCCAACAATCACGGCACAAAAGAAAGAAAGAACCTCTCTAGAACGCACGCAAGAAAGATTGGAGCAAGGAGCTTTAGTTTTTTTTTGTTTTGTTTTGTTTTTTAGGTGTGTGCCCCCCTACTGGTATTCAGACAAAAATGGAAATGATTTCTTTCCCCACTCCTGAGGATTGCACATAATTTGAGGTGGCGTTGTTCCATAGAGGCAGACACCCTGAGCATGATCTGGATAAGTACTAGAGAAAGAATAGAAATTGCAGTAAACAAATCTAATAGCCAGTTGATGTGGTTGTTGTGACCCACCCACAGCTGATTGTGTTGCCTGTTAGCAGCGAAAGGTTAAGGAAGAGCATTTTTTATCTAGTCTAGTCACAAAAAGCATGGTTGAAATGCGATTACCAGCGATAGACCATATAATATTTGACATAATTAAAACAATCGCTACCATGACTCCATATCATATCATGGGTTTGCATTTATTCAAATATTTGGATGATTTCACGAGCGACAAGTAATACAACTATAAGAGATTTTTTTTTATGTTACGACAGTTTGATATTATGATGCCTAATTGAGAGATTAATCGAGCAGCGATAGAATAATAGCAAACGCTCGCTAGCACGTAAGAAATGGTTCACTTACTCTTTATCGGCCATAAGCTTGACTTTGCTCATCGGGGCCAACAGCAAACACTTTACTAGCATTCAAATTTAACTGCGAGCAACATTGTCGAGCAGAGAATTGATTCTACATCGTTTCTCCTGTTCTACGCACACAAATACAAAGTGGAAGTCCAAAGTGAACAAAAATCAAATCTTTATTTGAACACTTCCGAATGCTACTTCCCCAGAAACATTGTCAAACAGTGAATTAATGCACACTTCAAAAACATAAGCTAATATGTTTCTCCAGTAGAATGCATACATCATCCAAAAGACACAAAGAAAAGAAGTGTAGACTGCGACCATCCATTAAATTAAAAGCGTGAAAGGAAATAGAATCACAGATAGCTACTCGCTCAGGGATATTTTCAGGTAAAAAATTGATTATGCACTTGAAACAATAGCATCTCATTTTTACTGAGAAACAAGGATCAGTGGGGCAGGGCTTCACCTTGAGCGCGTGTTCAATCTCCTGGTTGTTTGCGTTGGCTCAGAGCAGATGGTCCCTGATGGCGCTCCTCGACATTGGGGTCGTGGAAGGACACGAGGAAGTGGTCTGCCACGCCAGTTGCCGACGCCATCGCCGGTGGTTCGCGCCGTCCAGGGAGCACTGTCGCGATAGTTAGTTGGCTGGCCACCTATTCAAGCAAATGGAGGAGACGGAGGCAAGTAAGGAATTTGAACTCACGGCATTGCGAACGGCCATTTCATCAAACACCCTGAGGACATACCTTCGCCGACTGCAGTAGACGTATGAGTTGGCAAGATTCTTGGCGACAAAGGCGTGGAGCATAGCACCTACACGGACTCAGGCTGGGCGTCGTCCCGCGCTTCGCTTCCATCGTCGTTGCCTCAAGCTGTGCGATTGGTTGCGTGCCGGGGTCGATGACCGATGGCGGCAGGCGAACTACAGAGCGCGGCGACAGTGGCCGGGACACGAGTGTAATGCTTGATGAGCCAGTCCTTAGTGAGGAATTATAGCCTCGATCCGATCCCACCAGATCTGTAGCCGCCAGGCCTTCCTCCCACCTTATCGTGCTCCCCACCATGAAAGATGCCTCGACGGGTGCGGAGGAGGCGCTCGGCTAGAAACTGCTCTCCGGGCTGGGAGGGGACGGGGCCGGTGCGACGCCCCTCGTAGCGAGCGCGGCAGTGGCGTGACCTCGGCGGGGGCCGGGGTGACGGTCGGCAGCGCGGCCTGGGCG